ATGCACTCCTCTTTGCAGGAATTCTGCATGGAGACATCCTCTCCCCAACCCGATTCTTCTGCTTTGTACACCTCAGGGGTCAGCAGAAGCAGTTCTGGAGGCTGAAGATAAGGTATGTGGAGTGACCCAGGGTATAGGCAATGCCTTGGAGTGACCTCAAGCATCATGTGGTCATGTGACCCCCTGGTTTTTATCCATCATAGGAGGGTGGAGAAAGAAGGAAACACCAACGAAAGGAGTAAATTTGGGTTACTTTTTCCTCCAAGACATGACAAAGTGCAAAAATAAATATCTTCCCTTAAATGTATTACAGGATGGATTACAAGATGCTGTTAGGTTTTGAAATAAAACTATGAGAAACTACAAGAAAAAAAAAAAGAACCATAATGTTGTAATAATAAGAGTGTGATAAGGATAAAAGAGATGAGGAAGGATATACACATAGATCAGTAGAACAGATGGGGAGTCCAGAAATAGACAAACACAAATATGGCCCATTGATTTCTGACAAATGTACAGACAATTCAATGGAAAAAGGATAGTGTTGTCAACAAACAGGACTGGGCAACTCGAAGTCCATATGCAATAAATAAACAGCCTCAACCTCTACTTCACACCTTATATAAAGATTAACTCAAGATAGATTGTAAACCTAAATGTAAAATGTACCACTATAACATGTTTAGAAGAAAGTCTTTTGGACTTTCAGTAAAAAAAAAAAAAGTTCTTAGGTATGACACCAAAAGCACAATTCATAAAAAAAAAAAAAAAGATAAGCTTAACTACATCAAATTAAAATCTTTGCTCTGCAAAAGACATTGTGAAAAGGTGAAAAAAAATGAGCCACAAATTGGGGAAAATATTTGCATATCACATTGTTGACAAAGGACTTATATTCAAAATTATAAAGAACTTTCAAAGCTTAACAATAAGAAAATAAACAGCCCAGTTAAAAATGGTCAAATAATTTGAATACACACTTCACCAAAGATATATGAATGACCAATAAGCATGTAAAATATGCTTATCATCACTAGATATGAGGGAAATGCAAATTAAAACCAAGTGAGGTATTTCTTTTAGATTTACTTTAAAAAAGAAGACAACAATGTCAATACCAAGTGCTAACAAGGATGTGGAACAATTGAAACTCTCATAGTTTGCTGGTGGGAATGCAAAAATGGTATAAACACTATAGAAATGTTTGATGGTTTCCTATAAAGTAAACATATACTTACCATATAACCCACTCCTAGGTATTTACCAAGTGAAAGGAAAATCTATATTCCCATAAACACTTATATACAAATGTTTATATTGACAAAAATAGGAAACAACCCAAAAGTCCCTCAACTAGGGAATGAATAAACAAAATGTGGTACATACATACAGTGAAATGCTGCTCAACAACAAAAAGGAATGAACTATTAATACATATAATAATATGGGTAAATCTCAAGAGTATGATGCTAAGTGAAAGAAGCCAGACAAAAAGAATATCTAATGAATGATCCCATTTATATGACATTCTGGAAAAGTTAAAATTATAGAACAGAGAAGAGTCAGTGCCTGGGCTTAAGAGCTGGGGGAGGTTTTTCGTTTGTTTGTCAAGTAATGGAAATGTTCTGGTTCTTGATTGTGGTGGTGGTTATGTGATTATGCATTTGTCAAAACTCATAGACATTTTTATGAAAAAGAATAAACTTTACTGATTATTAAATCTTTTTTAAATTTTTTTATTTTTTTAGATTTTTAAATGTATTTTTAGAGGGAGAAGAGGGAGAGGGAGAGAGAAACATCAATGTGAGAGCCAAAGATCGATCAGCTGCCTCCTACACGCACTGGGATGGAGCCGGAAACCTGGGCATGTGGCCTGACCAGGAATCAAACCAGCAACTTTTCAGTGCACAAGACAACACTCAACCAACTGAGCCACGCCAGCCAGGGTTGTATATTAGTTTAAAAATAAATATTTAAAAGATAAAATGAAAATGTTTTCCACTAATTTTTACTTCAAACTTCAAGCTGTTTTATAGAAACCCCAATAAAACATCCTCAGAGCATAAAAGTAAAGACAGAGTTCATGATTAATGGTTAACTTGAGTTATACTGAGAATCAACTTCATCACAATTTTTAGGCGATATAAATTTCTTTCAAGAATTAATCCAACCCTGGCCAGTTTGGCTTAGTGGTTGGAGCACTGTCCCTCAGACCAAAGATTCTTGGGTTCAATTTCAGTCAAGGGCACATACTTCAGTTGTGGTTCAATCCCTGGCCCTTGTTGGGGTCATGCAGGAGGCAATCAGTCTGTGTGTGTCTCTCTCTCTCTCCCTCCCTCCCACACTATCTGAAAAACAATGGAAAAATGTCCTTGGGTGAGGATTAAAAAAAAAAGAAAAAAATAATTAATCCAGAGAAAAACTAAAATAACTGTAATGTCCAACAATAGCAGACTGGTTAAATAAATAATGGCATGTCCAGTGAAATATATAGAGCTCCTTAAAAATGAGGGATGTCTAGCCCTGGCCAGTTTGGCTCAGCGGTTAGAGCATCAGCCTGTGGTCCAGACAGACCCGGGTTTGGCTCCTGCTAAGGGCACGTACCTCGGTTGCAGTTTGTTCCCGGCCCTGGTTGGTCGTGCGGGTGGCAGCCACTCGATGTGTCCTGTTCACGTCGATGTTTCTCTCTCTCTCTCTCTCTCTCTCTCTCTCTCTCTCTCTCTCTCTCCCCCTCCCCCCCTCCCTCCCACTCTATCTGAACAAAAAATGGAAAAATGTCCTCGGGTGAGGATAAAAAATAAAAATAAAAAAATGAGGGATGTCTAGCCCTGGCCTGTTTGGATCAGTGGTTGGAGTGTTGGCCTGTAGACCAGAGAGTCCTGGGTTCGGTTCCCGCTAGGGGCACATACCAAAAAAAAAAAAAAAAATGAGGGATGTCTATATTTGCTTATATGAAAACCATAAGAAACATATACTTACCAACTGCTTACTAAAATTTTTTAAAATAATTTTTAGCAACTTATTTTTATGGGCTTAGAAGGGGGACAGATAGGATAGAGCTCTGGGGAGTTCCTTGGGGTTATGTTGAGGTGGGGCAGGTGAAGAATTTCTGGGGAGGCTGGCATAGTTCTATTTCTTAACCTAGGTAGTTACAAAAGTGTTTACCTTACAGTAACATGATGCTTTAACATTTGTTTTTATGTGGTTTTCTGTATGTGTAGCATAAAGGGTTAAATGAAAAATAATTTAAGACATTGAATTCAGTAAAATAAATATATATTTACCAGTGCTTACTAAAACCCAAGATATATAGTATTAATGACATATATCTACAGCCTCCACCAAAGGTAATCACCATTTTAAATACTGTGTTTATAATTCTCTTGCTTATTTTTTTTAGTCTTATCTTATATATATGTATGCCTAAGCAATATTTTGTTTATAAAAAGGACACTGTGATGATGTTATCTTCTGTACATATTTTTTTTGTTTTTCACTCAACATTATGCTACTAAAATTCTTAGATGCAGTTGCATATTTTCGTAATTAATTTATCTGTATGCTTTGTAATACTCCATTCTGCTAATACACTATAATGTATGCATTCTCCTATTAATGGGCATTTGGTTTTTTTATTTCTTTTTTAATGACTAGCAATGCTGCTATAAGTATTATTTTTAAAGTTTAAAAATAGAAATGTAAACAGAGAGGATAATAAGAAATTATTTTGATCCAATTCATACATCTGTTTTTTTCCTTTTCAGTGAAGAGTGCAGGTCTAGGGATGCACAAGGGCACTGAGGGAGGAGAGGTGTCGACCTGGCCACCTTGACAGCCATGGCTCTCCCTGGGCCCTGGTGCTGGGGCCTGATGTTCTCGCATGCTTTTTAAGGGATTCTTATATTTTATAAATTATATTTTAGTTCTACAAGTAATTCTCTTGTAGATTTCTTTTAATATGCAAGTAAATGCATACTTCTCATTAAAAAGCAACAACCACCACCTAGTAAACATACTAAATAAAATTTTCCTTTACCTTCATTCAAGACCTCATCTGCACTCCAGAAGTAAAGACTCTAATTGGTCCTCAGATCCTTTAGGGTCCCCCCCCCCTTTCTTTTCATGTAGTCATTATAAGAAACTCTTTAATTAGGAAGACATGCAATGTCAAGACTTAACAAAAAAACAAACAAAAAAACCATGAGGAGCAGGCATTCTAATTTAGTCAGTATTTCATGTTTGATTGACTTTACCCACTTCTGTCTTCCTCTCTTACCTCTGGGTGCTCACCCAAAATAATGTACTCCTGCTCCTGCCTGCACACAGAAATGGCCTGAACTACCTGGCCTAGGAGAGCAACAAACTCTGAAACTGCGTTCCTCCCTGCCCATCCACACCTGCTGGTAGAACTCTTCCCTTCAATATCCAGAGGCATCGACTTCAAGTTCACTATTCATTTAGACATTTGGAAGACTGATTTTCCATTCAAGTAACCCACCATTAGTGTGTGAATGACCAGCGGCTACTACAGTTACTTTTTAAAAGAGAAACTCAAATAAATATTTAATAATCACCAGAATGTCAGCAGAGACTTTTGAGAGTGACAGAGACCTTTGAGTGTCTCCTGACCTTGGCGTCCTCACTCATTCTCCCTGTCAGAAGAGAAGGGCGCAGCTGTTTGGCACCTCACCTATCAGGACAAACCAATGCCCTCTTGTATCAGTTCAAAAGCGCGTGGTCTGAGAGGTTCTGTCTTCTTGTCACCACCTTTATTGGAGAGTGAGACTACAAGGACCCATATTCTCAGTCCCTGTTTTTGTCAGACAGGAACATGGGCGTGCATGAGCCACCATTCTTTTTGCTGAGCTTGTAACAGCCAGTAATCATACTTCCCCTCAAGGAAAGCCAGCAGCCTGAGGACCGCATGCTCATGCGTTGGCTTCAGCTAGGGACCACAGGCTGCTCCTCTTTCTCAGGACCCTCCCTTTGTCCGTTCTTACCTGTTGTCTGAAGAAGCTGTATTCCCAGGCTCAAAAGTAGCAGGAAGAACATGTTCTATACCGGATCTGAAACAGACAATTGAAAGTCTGAGGGAACTTCTGAAGTTTTGCTGTTTTCATGACTTGGTGATTTGCTCACTCCTGAAAACAAGGGAATGACTTGTAAATGAAGCTTTAAAAAAAAAAAGATATAGATAGATATATATATTTTGTTGACTAGAGAGAGAGGAGGGGAGGGAGAAAAAAAACATTGATGTGAGAGTGAAACATTGACTGGCTGCCTCTTACAAGACCCCACCGGACTGAACCCAAAACCCTGACATGTGCCCTGATTTGGAATCGAATTCACAACCCCTTGGTGCACTGGATGACGCCCAAGCAACTGAGCCACACCCGCCAGGGCTTGTAAACAAATCTATAGGGGAGGCCCTGGGCCATGGCAGAGTGAAGCTTGGAAGGGAAGTTATGGGCCTGGAAGAGAGGGAAGACAGGGTAAGAGAATGTGAGGGCCTCCTTATCAATCCAAATTAAAAGCTCTTCCTTCTTTTCTAAAATCCTTTTCTGAATATGAAGCAATCCTGACTTACCCACACTGGTGGTTATCTCATTGTCTCTCCCACAAAACCTTCCATAGTTTCAGTTGTAGGCCCTTGGCAGGCGAGAATTCTACCACTGAACCACCAGTGCACCCCTAGTGTAGGCCCTTGAAAACCAGTCTTGCTTGTCAAATAAATAATGCACACGATCTATCCCAGCTGGACCAGAACTCTGGGCGTCAGTCACTCGGTTTAGTGCTCAGTAGCACAGAGTTAGATTCTCAATAAATATTTGATAGCTGACTGAGCAGATAAAGTAGTCAAGCTCCTTTGAGTGCTGTGAACAGGTTTGCCCATCATTTGACCTGCCTGTTACTAAGAGGTTTAGACAGGGAGGGCAGAGAACCGGCTCTGTTGAGTGGTGCCCGACCTTGGTCCTGTTTCACCTCCTACATGGCCACCTTGGCTCACAGGTGTTTTTTCCCACCCAAGGACTTTTCATAATTGAAGGCAAAAAGAGATACACATGACTGTCAGCTATTATGTCCTCTCAGAGGCTTTCGAAATTGTATTAGCCGTGGAACCGTCTCCTCAAGGGAAGTAAGTTGGAGCAATACATGTAAATTAGGTCAAAGCAGAGCTGCTCTGAGTAGACTGGAGAAAGCCAGTGGAGAATCTGGATCCGAATGATGCGATCTCATTTACATTTTAAAGAGAGGACTCAGCTTCCGTGTACTGTAGATAATATACTATTGTTTAGAAGGAGAGTGGGTGGGCAAGACTAGAAGCAGGATGATCAGCAAAAAATATTTTTGCAGAGGTGATGATAGTTTGAATTAGTTGTGGGGCCAATGGAGGTGAGAAGTGGTTCTTGTTGATGGTTTTCTAATTTGTCCTTTAAGTTTATTACATTTTTCAATGTCTTTAGTGAAGTATAATTGACATATAATAGAGAAGTATGTGTGTCTGTGTGTGTGTGTATTTAAAACATAGATGATTCAATGGTACAAGTCAGTGGTTTTTAGTATATTTTGTGCAATCCACACCACAATCTAATTTTAAATTATTTTAATTACCTCAAAAGGAAATCCCATACTCATTAGCAGAAACGCCCCAATTTCCCTTCTCTCTCCCTCCAGCCCTTAGCAACCTACTTTCTGTCTTTATGGATTTTCTTATTCTGGATATTTCATATAAATGTAATCTTACAATATATGACCTTTTGTGTCTAGTTTTTTCTACTGGGCATAATATTTTCAAGATTCACTTATGTTGCAGCACATATCAGTACTTCATTCCTTTCTATAATTGAATAATATTTCATTGTATGACTATACCACATCTTGTTTATCCATTCATTGGTTGATGGACATTTGGGTTGTTTCCACTTGTTGGCTATTTGGAATAATTCTATGAATATTTATGTACAAGTTTTAGTGTAGACATGTTTTCAGTTCTCTCGGGTATATATGTAGGAGTTGCTTGGTTAAATGGTAACTCTGTGTTTAACTTTTTGAGAAGCTGCCAAGCTGTTTATCAAATACAAGGTGAGCAAATACTTTCTTCCAGTCTGCAGACTGTCCTTCCAGCTTCCCAGTAGGTCCTTTGAAACCCAAATGTTTTCATGTAATTTGTCTTTAAAGTACAATTAATTTTGATGAAGTCGATTTGTATTTTATTGCTTGTGCTTTAGGTCTTATATATAAGAAACCACTGCCTAATCTAAGGTTCAAAAAAAGTTTTGTTTTTTGTTTTTTTTTTATCCTCACCCAAGGACATTTTTCCATTTTTTGTTCAGATAGAGTGGGAGGGAGAGAGAGGAACAGAGAGAGAGAGAAACATCGACGTGAAGGGACACATCGAGTGGCTGCCACCCGCACGACCAACCAGGGCTGGGGACAAACTGCAACCGAGGTACGTGCCCCTGGCGGGAACCGAACCCGGGTCTCTCTGTACCGCAGGCCGACGCTCCAACCGCTGAGCCAAACCGGCCAGGGCTAAGGTTCAAAAAAAGATTTACATCTATATTTTCTCCTAAGAATTTTATAGCTTTTGTTTTTATATTTAGGTCTTTGATGAATTTTGAGTTAATTTTTGTATATGGTATGAGGCAAGGCTCCAGATTTGTCCTTTACATGTGGATGTCCAATTGCCCCTGTACAGTTTGTTTAAGAGATTATTCCTTTACCCTGTCCAGTTTGGCTCAGCGGTAGAGCATCGGCCCATGGACCAATGAGTCCTGTGTTCGATTCCAGCCAAGGGCACGTACCTTGGTTGCGGTTTGTCCCCGGCCCTGGTCAGGATCATGCGGGAGGCAACCAGTTGATGTGTCTCTCTCACATCGATGTTTCTCTCTCCCATTGATGTTTCTCTCTCTGTCCCTGTCTCTTCCTCTCTCTCTACCAGAAGATAAATAGAAAAATATCCTCGGATGAGGATTATTAAAAAAAAAGATTATTCTTTCTCCATTTAATTGTTTTGGCACCCTTACCAAAACTCAATGAACTGTAAGTGTTTGGATTTATTTCTGGACTCTGAATTCTATTCCATTGAACTATATGTCTATTTTATGTCAGTACCACAGACTTGATTACAGTACCTTTGTGGTGAGTTTTGAAATAAAAAAATGTGAGTTCTCCAACTTTTTTTTTTTTCAAGATATTTGCATGTGTGTGAGTCTGTGTCCATGTATGTGGTATGAGTGTATGAGTGTGTGTGTGTGTGCGTGTGGCTATTCTGGCTCTCTTGCATTTCCATATGACTTTTAGAATCTGCTTATTCATTTCCACACTCATACATAAAAGAAAGGCAGCTGGACTGTTGATAGGAACTGCACTGTATTTGTATGTCCATTGGAGAATATAGCCATCTAATAATGTTTAGTTTTCCAATCCATGAACACATAATATCTTTCCATTTGTTTGCCATCTGTATTTTCAAAGGAGATCTGGTGGGAATTTCTCACAGGTTAGATATGTAGTTTGACAAAAAGAAAAACCTAGTAAAGTTCCTAGGTTTAGGGCTTGAGTCACTAGGGAAAATGCAGGTGCTATTTATGAAACGGAGAAGACGGAGAGAAGCAGATTAGGGAGCAGAAATCAAGGACAATGTTTGGAATATGTTTGGCTTGAGATGCCTCTTAGACATCCAAGTGAAGATGTTTAGTAGGGAATTGGATAATAGGTGGTCTATTGTTTGAGGGCAGAGATATAAATTTGGGAGTCATCAAAGTATAAATGTCACTCGAAGCCATGGGGATGCATGGCCTCACCTAAGGAGAGATTGAGAAGAGAGAGGTCGTGGACGGCCTGATCAGTGTGGCATCAGTGGATCTGGGGGAAATCTCTGTGGATTCAAAAGAAAATGGCAGGTAAAGATATGGAGACAACAGAATATAGGCCCCTCTTTAGAGAAGAGTCATGAGGCAGTAGCCAGACAGGAATATAATGTGAGGTCCACAGTAGACTGTATCTTTGCTTTTATCTTAGGGAAGGATATAGTATAGCAGGGACAGGAACAGAACCAAGTGCTTTCCATATGGAAATGCTCAAGGTACACCTGAGCTAAATCTGGAGATCCTTTCCCTTACTGAAAATGCAAATATATCCACAAAAAAAGATCATCTTAAGCTGTACCTATAGGCCTGGGATTTGCCCAGCATTCTTATTTCTAGAGCACAAAAGGATAGCACATAACTTGTAGTTCTGGCAACAGAAAGGACTCCGAGCTCAATCACCACTGTGCTTAACTTCTCCTTCGTCCTTGCCCATCCAAGGGGACTTCCCTTGGACACTGCCTACTTGAACTACTTACTGCTAACTGAGAGACAGACACTGTTGTAAAGGTACTTTCCAACCAGCAGCCTTCTTTCTTCTAGTGATAATATGCCCCATGCAATGGTTAAGAGCTCAGGTTCTAAAGTCAGACACATCTGTGTCCAAACCTCGGTTCTAGAAATTCTTAGCCTCTAAAACTTGGGCAGTTTATAAAAACTCTTTATGCCCCATTTTCCTATAATTCTAATAATAAGAACACCTACTTCAAGCCAGAATCTTGGATGTCATCTTAAATCTACTTATCTCTCATCTTGGAAATCCAGTCCATCCCTCAATTCTGTTAATTCTACTTCCTGGATACTTCTTGGATGATGCCTCCTCTTTCCACCACCCACTGATGTTGCCTTAATTCAGCTCCTCATCATTTTCTTTTACACTGACATTTTTGCCTTCTGGTTTTGCTTTCCCCTGCTCCATCTCCCACTTGTCGAGGTGGAGGACACCAACCTTGGCATCATACTCCGCTTCTTTCTTTTCTCACCTGCATCCAATTCATTGACAAATCCTACAGGCCCCTCTTCAACTGTATCTAGAATCACACTGCTTCCATATCAGCTGGAGCCATTTTTATCTCTGATTCTGACCTTGTCTTCCTACAGTTGATTCTCAACACAGCAGCCAGGAAAATTCTTTAAATATAAATCAGGTGTGCTCAAAAACTTTTGTTAGCTCAATATTTCACTGACAGTAAAATCCTAAATCCTTCCTAAAGCCTGGATAAGAGGGGACTGTTTTGAGCCCCCTGCTTCGGAGTACCCACTGTGGACATCCTCTCCCTGCAGTGTGAGGTGTTTGCAGGGCTGAGAGGTGTCATCTGGAGCCCCTGCCCTTTCCTCAAAACCCCTCACGATCTGGGTCCTTAGGATGCTGGAATTTCCCACCCAGTTGGCCCTAATCCCACTCTAGGCCTGTGCAGCTTCTTCCCTAGATCCATCTCCCCAAGAGCAAACCTTTCTGCCTCTGCGCACATCCCTATAACCAGGCACTTTATTTGTTCTCTCTGCCTGAGGCTACCTTATGTAAAATCCAATAGCACCAGCTCTGCAGCATTCCCAGTTCTCCTTATCTGTCCCTTTCCCAAAGCTTTCATTACCATCAAACACACCAGATAATGTACTTGTTTATTATATGATTGCCTGCCATCTTTTGTAAGACGACGATCACTTGAATCAAGGATCTTTGCCTGTTTTGCTTCCTATTATGCCTTCAGTCCTTAGAACATTTCCTGGCAGTAAGTAAACACTCTGTTAATATTGGTTGAATAAATTATTCCTTTACTTAGCAGGCAGAATAATCTCCTAAGGCATTGATACGGAGTGATCAAATCTGACTATGTCACCCCTGCTTAAAAGACTTCGATAGCTCCCATTATTTACAAGCCAAGTTCTCCTGGGTGTGGCCTGCAAAACGTTCCCTGATCTGTGCCCTCTTGCCCAAGCCACAGAAAAACACATGCACAGGTATTTTGAGAATTCTCATCTCTCACGTCTGACCTCATTTTTAAAAATCTTTTCTCCTATCTCAGTTTCTTCATGTGCTTAAAAAAAAAAAGTATTGCATCTTAAATATCTTCTTAAATAGCCTCACATTCTTATGCATTTAACACAAGTGAATAAGCCTCTCTTCAGTGTCTTAAGCTGTTCCTTCTGCCTCAGGTGTGCATGCTACTTACCTCTAGTGTTGAGCATGAAACTCATTACTGGTACTTACTGATACATTAAGTGGGTACACTTCTGTGTCCCTGCCAAAACAAGAGCTCTTTGTACTTTATTAGGTCCTTATAACTGTTTGCTAAACTTTTGATAATTTAGGCACTTTGTTACTAGTAACACAAAACAATGTGGGGATTTGCATAACCTTTGTTGCGTAGGTTCTGGCAGAGCCCATGGCCAGAAATGTGACGTTGTGCGAGATCTGCTCTCGGAAATGGGACCACTGACAAAACAACTGATAAGTGGTCAGTCACACAGGAAGAAAAGAGAAGCGACAAGCCAACTGTAGTTTTGAGGCCAGACTATCAAGACAATATTGATGCCATTGGGAGAGAGAGAGGGAGAAAAAACAAAAACAAAACAAAACCAAGATATAAGATCAAGAAAGCTGATTTTTAGAAGAAAGACATGAGTTGGGTTTGAGTCATGAAGTCATGCAAGGCATTTAAGAAAAATGTAAGTGTAGAGTTTGGGACATAATTCAGGGCTAGAAATAAAGATAAAGCAGTTATTTCAAATATGCAGATGTTAGTTGATATTGGGGAAGGAGTTAACTCTGTGGGGGAGAGTGTAGAAAGTGAGACAAGAAGAGGTCTGAACCCTGAGGAGCCCCCACATTTGGGGAGCAGGAGTAGGAGACCAGAGAAGGTGGAGAAGAAATGGTTCTAAGAGTATGACAAGCTCCCCCTTCCTACTATCTCAGACCCAGGAGAGGAAAATCCCAAGAATCTAATAGAGAGATCTGGAGAATAAGACGTGATAAAGCCTCTGGGGGTGGTAGAGACAGCTGGAAGGCATTGAGGTGACTGGGGCTAGATAACCTTTTAGATTCCTTTATCTATCCTGCAATTCTGTGAATTATTTCAAGATTACGGGAACACAAATAACCTAAAGGAGTCCTACTGCAGCAGGAGGTCAGGCTGTAGTTGCCTCATTACCTGGTAACTCAGGTGTGAAGCAATTAAGCCATGTGGTGTATTTGGACATTGCCATGTGGAACAAAAATGACGCACAACAATCTGTGGATCCCCGCCCATGCATTGTAAAGCAAGTCAACTCTGAAGCATGACCCATTATACCCGCTCTGCAGACATTAGCACCATCTCCTTCTCAAATCAACCCCAAATTGCCTTTTGTATAGTACATACATAACTCACATCTGGTGAGTCTCCTGCCATTTCATCAAACTGTGGACCTACGGGGGCCACATGCTAACCTGACAAGCTCAGGGAAGGCCTGTGTGGCAGCCTTGCAAAGTCAAAGACCTAAAGTAACCCACAAAGAATGGTCTGAAATAAAAACTTTTTAACCAAAAGCAGTTTATGGCAGGTAGTCATGTCCTAGGCCGGCATCTTCTCCGACAAAGGTCAATCTTTATCTTAACTGAGCCTGTCTATTGTTTTTTTGCACCTACGATAATGTCTCTTTGGAAAGTCAAAGTTATTTCCCTTTTTTTCTGGACCTCTCAAAGCACAGGCACCATCTGTGGAGACCACAGATCCCCTCATTATTATGGAGTTAATAGTTGACTGTTTAACTATCCTGTACCCACCTATGTAAAAGATGTATGTGTCTATCATTTTACTTTTCATCCAATCCCAGAGGTTTCCACGCTTTGCTTTCTTCCACCTCCCTAATCTACCACCAGCGGATTTCACGTAACTCATTGGGGTCTTCTCTTTGATTGTAATGTATAAAATAAGGCGCAAAACTGCCCTTCTCTGGAACATTATCTCAATCTGTTGAGGTTTGCTTCCCAGCGATTGTCGACAGTTTGGGCTCAAATAAAGTCACAAAAATTCTTCACAGGTTTGAACGTTTCTTACATTGACTAAATCAATTAGTTAAGCAACTCAACAAGCACCCAATGAGCACCTGTGTGTGTTGTGAGGCATTGTGCTAGGCACTTGGGATTCAGAGAACCTACAAGGTTGCACCAGTTTCATGGAAAGGCTCCCAGACAGAAGAAATCCAGGGAGAAGACACCTGGAAGCACTAGACAAGGACGATCCTGCTAATAGGGAGAGGTTAGGTAATGGAGGTGAACAGACCAGTTTTGAGTGGCAAAGGCGATATGAATGGTTCATCATCCACAGAATCCTAGGCTTGGGAGGGAGGTTGGAGAACACCTCTGTCGAGTAGCATTTGAATCCTGATGCCACTGTGTGATTACTGCTCACACTGAATATTCTTACTGTGCACTTTGTCAATTTATGGCTATCATTCCCTTCCACCAAACCAGAGAATTCCGGGGTCAGAAGACCTCCACAAGCAATTTCACTCCGACTTGAGCTCCTCACTTCAATCCTCTCTACATGGGTCCCTTGTCATCTCTTTCCTACTCTGCGCACCTACGTGGTGAGCAGCCAATAGTTGCAATTTTCTTTAATTTTACTAATCTTTCTCTCATCACTTCACACAGAAAAATAAGCCTTTTAGTAGGCTCCAAATCACTTTTGTTAAATAATGGTTGTCTGTAGTATGTTCATGTAACCATCATTTTGTTTCTGCTTTGACTTTAAGCAGCTTACTTGCAGAGCATAGCTTGTAAACACAGGCCAGCTGAGATGATTCAGAGGGATGTCAGATGCAGGAAGACCAATTTTTAAGTTCCATTAACCCTTCAACATTCCTCAGCTGGGAGATAATCTCAAGAATAGTTAAATTCTTTTCAGTGTACCTTTGTGCATAAAAATATCTCACCTTATAAAACTGCCCAACAATAATAGCAAGTGTAGGCACAAGCAAGAGAAATCCTAGTATTTTGGGGACAGGAGGAAATTAACTTGTTTGTGCCCGAGTACAGTGCCTGGGGCAGAATTTCTCCTGACCCCGATGATGTGCACAGCAAGTGTACCCACTCCAAGCCAGCCTCACCATGTTCCACACCACCAGCTGAAAGTTCCAGAAAATCCCAACCCCCGGTACTCACATCAGGACTTGGCACTTGCTCCTCAGGCAAAGAAACAAAAGAAAAACAAAACTTGCTCTTTGCATCAGATTCCTTCATAGAAGCCAACTAATCAAGCAGCCAAAGGGAAAGGAAACAAAACAAAACCTAGGTTGCTGCCTAGACCACTGCAGCCAGGATTCCTTCTAGCAGGAGAGTGGATAATGATGGTGGGAATCAGGACGAACATTTAACAGGGAAAAACAGCAACGTCATTGCCATGTAGCCCAGAGTCATTTAAACCAGAACTGTTTCTCAGGAAATGACTGAAGCCCAACCTACTGAGGTTTTGGTTTTACTTTCAGGGTCGCTTCACAGCAAGCAAACCTCAGTCCTGTGTCCCTGGGGAAGAGAGGGTCAGGGAAAGAACACGTGCATGTTCTAGGTGTGTGCGAAGAACTTTACACAGGTATGTTGAGTAGCTTCCTACGGCTGCTGTAGCAAAGTCATAACCTGGGTGGTTTGAAACAACAGACTCCACTCTCCCACTTCCCTCAGAATCCTCTCACAGTTCTGGGGGCTGGAAATCCGGAACCAGAGTGTCACAGGTCGCACTCTGAAGGCTCCAGGGAACACTGCTTCCTTGCCTCTCTCTGGCTCCCGAGGGCTCCCTGACGCCTTGGGTTCCTTGGTTTGTAACTGCACCACTCCGACCCCTTCCCCAGCTTCACAGGGCCTTCCTCCCTGTGTGTCTTCAGTGTCCTATCCCCTTATAAGGGCACCAGCCATTAGATTAGTGCCCGCCCCAATCCAGTATGACCTTATTCTCACTAATGACATCTGCAGACACTCTACTTCTAAATAATTTCACATTCCAAGGCTCCAGGTGGACATGAATTTTGAGGGAATGCTACTGAACCTGCTACAGGATTTCATTGCATTTATGGAGCAACTGGTGACCTAGATCCTGTCAGACCCATTTTACGTATGAAGTAAAGAGTTGCCGTCGAGCCACTCTTCCTGGGCGGCACCGACAGCCCCCTGCAGGCAGCCACTCCCAATGGCAGCCACTCCAGCTGTTTCTCCTTGGAGGGGTGGAGTCGAGAGAACCAGGAGGAGGAAAGGAGAACACTGCTTTTCCAGAAGAAAGACAATAGGCAGAGGTGACTTCAAGGTGAGACATGGAGAGAAGACAAGACAACATTAGAGAAATGTGGCGAAGAAAACATACCCTGTCTGAGCATCAGAGTCCCACCTCTGCTGGCCCCAAGGCACCAGCACGGTGATGTTACCTGCAGTGTTGGCTGCAAAACAGCACCAGTTGTTACCAGCGAAGTTGGAGGGAGGGAGAGAGAAAGTGAGAGAGAGAGAGAGAGAGAGAGAGAGAGATTGATGTGAGAGAGACACATGGACTGGCAGCCTCCTGTGTGATCCTGACCAGGGCTGGGACGAACTGCAACCGAGGTACATGCTCTTGACCGGAATCAAACCCGCAACTGTTTGGTCCATGGGCTGACACTCTAACCGCTGAGCCACACTGGCCAGGGCAAGAGAAAGCTTATTTAGAAAGTTACAGAGGGAAGAGAAGTGAGCCAGCTGGGCTCAGGAAAGAAGTTATGGTGATTTAAGCTATTTACCCTCTGGCTGGGGAGAGGTGTAAACCAGCTACTCCTAAGGGTCCTCGGTTAGGGAAGGTAGGGTTCTGGGATTTACTAGATAGTTGTAAACTACTTGACTATTTACCTGTCTCAGTTTCCCTCATCCATTTGTCCTGCCTTATTGGGAATGGGGTTGGTCATCCAGGTCTATACTCAAGTTGGCTTTTTCTTGCCATCTTGCTTTTGGTCTCACCACTGAAGAGCCCCAGTATGGTGGGACCACAGAGGCCGGAGGAATGGACATATGTCCCCTGCATGGCTCCGAGAGCTTAGTGTCTACACAGGATCCACACACCACACACCAGAGCGCCTGGCCCTCCTTAGGAGGGAGGTGCGCTAGCCACCGTTTTCCTTCTCTCTTTCATTCAAGTTCCCTCCCACTCCACCCATCTCTTTCCTCTGGGCTCTCTCTCCAAACCATAGGTTTGGAAAAATAGACACATCTCAGCACAAGGGCGTCTTCACAACACCCTAGGTGTTTTCACAACAGGGCTCAAATAAACCTCAAACTAATATCTCAGCATGTTTTCCTGCCTCATAAATCTACAATGCCTTGAAAAGATACTGGAGGGGGAGTTGCCAAAATGTTAACAGAGGCATCTAGGAAGAGGACTTGGAGGTAATTTTTTTGGTTTCTTCTTTTTGCTTATATTTTATTTTCTAAATAACTTGCCATGAACACAAATTACTTTTGTAAAGACATGGAAATAATTTTAAAAAATCAGTGATGGAAAGTAGTTACATTGCTAAACAACAACAACAAGAAAGCATTTCAAGAACTTTGCAAAGGGCTTATATTTGCTTCTAATTGATTTAGCCTCATCCCCTTTATACTAGAAGACCCCTGAGAGGCCTAGCTCCAGTGTGTGCGTGCTCCTAAAAACAAGACAGACAGCAGGTTCAAAACGGAGTCAGATACACTGTCACCAAACCAAGAATTAATTACAGTTTGGGCTCTTGCTGAATGGAATCTTAAACCAGCCAACCGGGAATGCCTAAGCAGGGCAGGTGGGAGGTAGCGGTGGCGTGATGGTTGGTTAGGTCGCTGACCTTTTCCAGCACTCAGGTGGTCGGGTCACTGAAGCTTCTGGATGTGGGTTTTGCCGCTGCTCCTGTTCTGGCCTCTGAGCCTGCCAGCCTCCCCAGCCCTCAGCTCTGGACACCCCTGCCAGTGGGGTCAGTCCACTGTCCTCTGCACTTTCCGAGAACACCACCGATGCCTCCCCTCCTCATGTGTACCTGGCCCTACACGAGGGATGTGGGAGGCAGTTAGACAGACATGAGTAGAGCAAGGACAATGGGCCAGATACAGAAAGTCACCGTGGCGGAAAGTCCCGGGTGCCTAGCAAAGGACAACTGTAGGGCAGGTCCTTGACCCCAGGATGACTTTTTTCTCCCTAGCATATCTCAGGTAATGCAGTTTGAACCCCCTGACCTTCCCTCCCTAGAGATAACATCTAGGCCTCAATTGTATTTCAGCTCAGAAAAGCAGCAAAACCAGACCGGCAACCCCATGGATGACCTCAGGACCAACTGCATTGGATAATGACCCCCCTGCCCTGGCGCCAACCAATCAGTGGAAACCTAGACCCTAAAAGGACACACCTGGAAAACCACTGAATATTCTATGAAGATCTCCCTTGGGACCTCCCCCCCAATCTCTACCCTTACAACCCTCAGGAGGGAGGAGCCAGCACTCTCTCCCTCCTGGAGCATGCCCACACCTCTCCCTCCCTCCTCCCCCTTCCCTCGGGCACATCACCTTTACCTTCCTCACTTCTAAGCTCCAAGGGCCCTTTCTGTAACTTCTTTCCTCAGTCCATTTCTTCTATGAATCACTTCTTCTACCTCTGATGTTCTACATAAATGTCCTCTTCTAGATGGAGTCTTGGCTCTGAATTCTTTCCTAGCCAGAACTCAAGTACTTAGTTCTGGTCTGACCCCACTGGTCTAATACTGGTGCCATTCCTGCTGCCTACAACAGTTACATGGATTGTGTCATTTAATCCCCTCTGCGACTGAGACAGTGGCACAGAGAGGTTAAGGAACTTGCTTAGAGTCATAGATCCAAAATGCGCTAGAGCTTGAAGTTGAGTGCACATCACCAAAACGGAATGCCTAGCCAAGGGCCATATGCTTTCCCTAAGTTTCCACTATTTCTTAAATCCTGGGGGAATAGTATTATTTCGACAGCTGAGAATTCTAAGTGAGTTGCCCAATAACAGCAGCCCAGCTTTGTCTGATGGCAAAACCGGGAAAATTTACATTATCACACATGGCCTCTATGTTTCTCTATACCCTCCCCCCCTTTTTTAACAGCTTTATTGATGTGAACCCTGAGAAGAAATATGTTTGCCACAGAGGACTCCTCGTGGTTAACTGGGCCCAAATTCATAACCAGAGTCTGCGGCTGCTGCTAACTGAGGCCTCTCGTGCACTTTGCATTTCAGGAAAGGTCACACGCTGAGCAGTCTTCACTGCTGTGCTGTCCAACCCCACCCTCTTTAGGGAGGTCCTGGTTTCATCTTTCCACCAGTGCACTGAGACCTCCTATACTGTCAAAACTGGACAACGATATCCTGCTTTGCACCTACATAGACCAACCAGAGCTGCTCCGTAAGGATCAATCAGAACACACAATGCCAACCAATCAAGACTGTGCAGATTTGGATCCTTCGTTTTCACATCAAAATGCATCAGTCGGGGAGCAGGGTGGGACCCTTCTCCAAAAAAGACGCCCTTCCCCTAGTCTCAGTAGAGCACACACTGTTTTCAACTGAGGCTGCATTTCCCCACTTTGCAAACTGTTCACTTGAATAAAATTCTTTCCACACACCTCAGGTGGGGAATTTTTGTTGACATTGATATGATATACAAAAACCTACACATGTTTACAATGTATTATTTGGTCTTTACATACATAAAAAATCAAATATGCCCCTGAAATCATCAGTACAATAGAGACAGTGAACATATCCATCACCTCCAAAACTTCCCTTCTACCCATTTGTAATTCCTCCTCCCAGTCACAGTATACCATAACTAATCCTCAGATAGCCATAGATCTGCTTTTGGTCACTGTAGATTAGTTTGCATTTTACAGAATTGAATATAAATGAAATAATATGTGCTTTTGTGGGAGAGAAGAATCAGACTTAATTATTTTGAGATCCATCCATATTGCTGAGTGTACAATAGTTTATTTATTTTTATCACTGAGTAGTAGTCCATTTTATGGACAATTTATTTATTCACACATTGTTGGACTTCTAGGTTGTTCCCAGTTTCTGACTATTACAAACAAAGCGCTCAACACCAATGTATAAGTCTGTGTGTGCACATATCTTTTATTTAGATTAATACCCAGAAGTGAAATGGCTATCTTATGGTAGGTGTAACTTAACTTTTTAAGAAACTGCCAAACTAATTCTTAAATTAGTTGTTCCATTTTACATTCCTACCAGTAATGAATGAGAGTTCTAGATTCTCCATATTCTCACCCATACTTGCTAGACAATCTAAAAGGTGTGTAGTAGTATCTCATTGTAGGTTTAATTTGCATTTGTAGAATGACTAATGATGTTAAGCATCCTTTCATGAGCTTATTTGCTATCCAT